ACAGAACCTATCTTTAACAAAGGTTTACTTACTGACACAGTTCACTGAATGACCCGGATCACTGAATGATTCTGTTCACTGACTGATCCGGTTCAATGAGGAGAAGAACACCCGTTCAGCTCAGACAGCCTGCGCTTTGATCTCACCCTCCCCACCCCCCAATGTACCAATCCTTAAGCTGCTGCAACCATAGACCAGTGTCACTATTAAAAAAAGAGTCATTTCTAAATGTTAAAATAAGTCCATTTCTGTCCGGTTTTCTTTATCTGAACCATTCATTTGGTCTCTGTGATAAATGGCAGATGCTCACTCTGGAAATGCATTGCTTGTTTATTTGTTTGTTTCCAATATTTACTAAAGTAGAGCCAATTATTTAGTCTTTCTCTAGATTTGCTGAAGACCACTGTCTATACTAGATATTCTAAAAAAAAAAACTACCCAATGTCAAATACTTTTATGTAATCTCTGTTATGATCTCAAACATCCAAAAGCTTCACTTTATAAAATTCTGGGTACATCAATACTTTTGGTGGCCAGTATCGAAAGGTAATAACGTACTAATAGCTTCCAAGGTGGCCTTTCACTAAACCACTATTAGAGTTCAGGGAATCGATTTCTTGCAATAGGACGACCAAATAAAAAATACATAATGTGATGGAATAAATTCAATTTCTACCAAAAGGGCAAGGGAGCTGTTAAAGTGGCACTGGAGGCAGTGCCATTAAAAAGCTATTTGGCCATCAGCCGACACAGCTTGCGGGGTTGGGGGGGGGTGTTACTATCCAAACAGAGAGCTCTATCTTAATATTTGACATGAAGATGGACATAAATGAGTGAAGAGCTCCAAAAGATATCCAACCAAAGATGACCAAAGTCAGCCTTAAAGTTTGGCCTGTCTAGTTCACTCTACCAACCACTTTAACTTCAGTGTTCATGGGACAGGATCCTCCAAAGTGGGAGGAGTCTTAGATTCCACTGGACACTTCATAAAATGTTGGACGAATGAATTAGCTCCATTAAGCATGTTTTCTGTTCAGAGCAGGGCAGCAGGTCCAGGATGGAGGCCGGTCAGGCTCCCTATACAGCAGATTTAACAGCTTCCTTCTCCTCTTTGCTGTTTCAGAGCAACATTGACCAATCAGCGCTAACTCTAAGGGCTTTCTAACCAAACATGAGACATGTCCAGTGGAAAGGATGGCATCTAAATATTCTCCAAAAAGGTGCAGCTGGAAAGTAATGCATTTGCTGGGCTATTATCAAAGATGGAACCCATAATTAACCCACGTTAGATTTATTCTTAAGGCTAAATTGTACAAAATCTAATCCCGTATTAACTGGAAGTAGCACAGGTATTAAAATAAATAAATAATAAACCAACACTGCCATGTTTAAAACTATTCAACTGAAAGTCATGCTGTGCCCACATTACGTTAATAATGATAAAATAACGATCCATCAATAGTTTAGTTTTCTCCTTCTTCTTTTATTGTTTAACAGCAGCTTCAAGTTTATTTCTGCCACCAACTGGTAAGGAGTGTAACAGCTTCATCAGGGGTGTAGATTCATACTCGTTCATCTGTGATTTACTTGGTTTGTTGCAAAGATGTAATTCGTATTTGTAATTCTAAACCTGTATTTTCCGAGCGAGATTCATCTATAGGGTCCAACCTTTGTCCTTCAGGCCCCGCCCCTTAGGATATGTTCACACCGGACAAACTTTCAGCAACAGAAGCAGCTGTTTTACTTGCAAATTCTATAGTTGACGTGTATCAAGTTGCATCCAAAGCTCCTGCAGCGCATCTCTAGCAGCAGCGCCT